TTCAATGCTTCAAGAAAGTAGCTATGTATATACATGTATATACAATGTATATAATATATATACAATGTATATAATATATATACAATGATATATATACATATATTTATATACATATATATATATGCAGATGTTCCCTTGGGTATGTCTGTGACTCAGTTTCCTTAAGTGTTAAGTGAGAATAAATACTAACTTTTGTCCCTTCGTGTATTTAAGCAACAGAGACACCACATTCTGGAGTCCTTTTAGAAAACAGGGAGTTTGTTGCCTTGCTGCTGTGAGAACTGTCCTTACAGGAGGGAAGAGAGATGGGGAGGGGAGCACAGCCTGGGGCCAGCATCTAGCAGCCATGATCTCCTTTCCATGTAAGAGTTCTGAACACATCTATATGAGCTGCAGACCTCTGTTAGAGGTGGGCCTTGCTTCATTTTTTTTTAAAAAAATTATTTTATGTGTATGAATATTTTGCCCACATGTCTGTCTGCACTGGATTCACACAGTGCCTGCAGAGGGCAGAGAAGGGCACTGAATCCCCTGAACTGGAGTTCTACCCATTTGTTAGCCACAGTGTAGGTGCCAAGACTTGAATCCAAGTCCTCCGCAAGAGCAGCCAGCGCCATTAACTGAGACATCTTTTTCCCCAATTTATTTTTTAAGGTTTCTTTTTCTTTATGTTTCTATGGATGTGTCTGTGTGAGTGTGTGTAATACATGCATACCTGGAGAAATACACAGGACAGAGAAAAATACACAGGAGAATCTACAAAGCTCCTGATCCCAAACTGTCTGTCCGTCTTCCCACAGTCCACTCTTGACAATCTGTCCTCTCTGTGGATTTTGAGATCCAGCGGTGCTTCTGGTCTGATATTCATCAGTTCCTATGCTGTTCCCAGATGCTAGCAAACCAGGGCTGGACCATGCCTGAGCAACTTGTTGGAGGCTAGGTTGGGATTGTGGCTCCTAGCCCTCATTCAACCCCCATGCCTTGCTAAGACTATATTATTTTCTTAGCTCAAATTGCCATTCCCAACTCATTATTTTTCTCTATGACAAGAAAACAATATTGCCTCTTATGTAATAACAACCTCAATGAATCTGGAAGCCATCATGGAATGGGTGGATTTTTTTCCCTTCTTAAAAAAAAGAGAGAGAGAGAAAAATAAATTGAGATTGTTTTCATATGGCTCAGAATATTTATGAACTCTTCCCCCACTTTTCCTCATTGCATATTTTACCCAGTGCATTTGTGTGTCATACAAAATAAATCTTTATGGGGAGCAGAGGCAGAGAGGGGACCAGAGCAATTAAAAGTCTGGGTACCCATCAAGTTCATGGGACATTGGCCATCATGGGTCAATGGGTGCTATAGTCTGTCTTGAGTTTAGTTACTCAAGCCAGCATCTCTAAGGAAGGCTTTCAGAGGCAAGATTTCAAACTCACACACTGAAGGAATTCATATTGTTTCGTCATTCTGGTCTCTTTCCTATCCCTCTTAGCAGAGTAGAAAGCTCACTGTGAGTAGTTTCATGACCTGAATGTCATCAACCAAAAGAGACCATTTTATCCTGTGGCTTCAGGACTGAACCAGCAGGGAGGAGGGGGAAAGCTGGAAGAGAATATCCAGGTATTGCCTCTGCTGCCTTGTCTGTCTGGATGTGTTTTAATTTATGGGTGTGGCATGTCTGTTTCCCTTAGACCATCCTTTTCTACATGGCTTGTCACCAAGGAGGGAGCCAGGGAGCATAAGGGACTTAGTTATGACTGTGCATTAAACATACAAGGGAAAGTGCATGGTGGCACATGCCTGCAATCTTAATACTAGGGAGGTGGAAGCAAAAGGATCCAAAGTTCAAGGCCAACTTTGACCAGTTATTAAGGTCAGTTATATGAATTATATAAGGCCAGTCTAAGCTTCATAAAAGTCTCGAAAACAATTTAAAATATAAAAGAGGGAGGGAGGGAGGCAAGAAGCCTGCCTTCAGAGACCTGCCTTCAGAACTGAGGCTGACTTGGAATCTCCCATCCTCTGTCGCATCGTGGAATGCTTAAGAATATACTGATCGGAGAGTACGGGGGGGATTCACGTGGACAGAAGGACACCTGCTGAGCTGGGTTACTACGGTAACACCCGATAACACCCGATAACCACTGACCAATCAGTTCCAGCCCAGGCCCTTGTATTGGGAACGCCCCTTCCACTGCCTGAATTGAGTGAGCCTACAAGGGGCCATGTGTGACCTAGAGATCCTCCTTGTCATTCCTGACTTGGGGAAACTACCATTCAATAAAGTTGAGGAGCTAACCTCTAGGCACAGAGAGCTACCAGGGCCAGAAGCACAGAGAGGCTTGACAGTGCCTAAAACTAATGCAATACGCATAAACAAGGCAGTGAAATAAATCGTGCCCAAGCCCTTGGAGAGAGCTCTTCAGTTAAAGGACCTTGAAGTTATAACCATAACAGTGCATCTGTTCTAGGGAAAATCCTAATCTAGGGTAGCTGCAGTTCATGGGGCTCCTTTCCTGCTTCTCTTCTCATCTCATGCCTCTACCATGGTTAATACCAACTCCGACCTCAACGCTCCTGACCAGGAATATACAGCTGCAGGTTGAGTAACTGACAGTGAGCATGCTTAGAATGTACATGCTGTGTGCTGTGTTACAGTAATGATGCAAGGACATAGTTAGACTTGTTACTAAAATTTAGCCCTTCTATCTCTAGAGCTCGTTTGACAAGCAGTTGAGATCTATCCAGACCTAGTCTTCCAAGGTCTCCGTCATTGCCTCAAGCCTCTTTGCCCAATTTCTTTGTTCTTCAAGGTCTCCAAAGAGGTGTTTGAAGTCAGGACTTGAAATGTCTTCTTTTCCTTTGCATACTCTTTCATATCCCTTGGATGATACACACTGATCAAATTTTAACAAGTATACTCTGTGTAATAGTCATATTTAAATGCCAACTTGCCACAACCTAGATTTGTCTGGGAAGAGAGTTTCAATTGAGGATTTACCTAGATCAGGTTGACCTGGAATTATACCGATTGTTTATTGATATGAAAAGACCTAGTCTATTGTGGGTGGCACCATTCCCTAGGCAGAGGGTATATTCGTTTGTCTGATCTTGACTGTGGATGTGGTATGACGCTTGTCTCAGGCTCTTTCCTCCATGACTTCCCAACAAAGATAATCAGCAATCCCTCCCTTCTATTGCCTTCTGTCAGGATGTCTTAGCAGGACAACAGAAATGAATCTAAAATACTGTGTTATTTTTTTTCCTGTTCCCACTGTGATTGGGTTTTTGCGCCACTCTATCACTGAAAGGGCTAAAGGGATTTGAGTAAGCAAACAGACCCAGCATGAAATGCAATCACTTTGGCGAGAAAAGCATAATAAGTATTGTCTAGTACCCACCCTCTGCTTTAGCCCTTGAATAGTCTGGTAATCTCTTCACAGTCTAGACAATCACTGAAGGGAATTCAAGTATTTTTCCCAACCCTTCTCACTTCTGTTCTCCCAAACTGGAAACACAAAGCAGATGATGAGGAGGAGTTCAAAATGCCACACCAGGGAGAAGGAAGTATTGAGAAAAGCTCTAGCCGGTTTCCAAAGATTCCAGGAAGTGTTCAGTGGCATTGTCTCAGACTGGGGTCCCTCCATTGTCTCAAACAAAAGGTCTCCTATGCAAAGACAAAAGTAGGTTATGTGGGAGTGGCTAATTAATGGAAGACACATCTGGGAAACCATGAGAAGGATGACAGGCTTTACAGCTTCTCGGGATGCCAATGTCCCTCTTGTATCTGCTGCCATGTGGAACATCTGGGACTCTCATGATCTCAGGAGCATATTGTAAACTAGAGTCTTGTGGGGTTTGAGAAGCAGGACTGATGTCACAGGTACAGTGGTTAATGACCAACCAGCCATCTATTTTGCAAATACCCTGTATATACAAGTGTAAAGTTTCCGTGTCACCGCTCTGTGACTAAGAGGTTCTATGCTCCTGTGGTTCTAAATGAATTATTTGCTAATTAATCAGGACAAGACTATAGAGTTCTTCTGCCACCTCATCTTCCTTTAGGTGTTATTTCTTTGAGGTGCATCTGTGGCAGGTCTCTATGCAAGTGGACGTGATGGCACATTGTTAGTGGCTGTTCCTGTCTAGTGCATTGTCCTGACCATCAAAGGGACAGCTTTGAGCTGTCTGCTCTAGATGAATCTCCAGCCTCTCAGAAACTTAGTGTATCTCTGTACATCCGCCTAAACATTCTCATGTCCTGTCTCCTGAAGGTCTGGTCCCTTCCCCTTCTCCAGATGGATTAGTCAAAGTTAATGATGCCACAAAATCTGGTCTCTATCTTAGGACGACTTCTGTGCCATTTTAATTATGTAACTAGCCCTTCCTACAAAATTTGTGTGTGTGTGTGTGTGTTTATTGCCAATCACTAACAACATAAAAATAGGTAAAATAAGAAAATTGAAGTTGCCTCATGCCCTACAAGCTGGAGATAATCACTGTGAACATTTTGGCTTGTGGTCTACCTGCTGAAGTTCTTTATTTAATAGAAGGCACATCATGATAAACATAAAAGAAGTTTAAATGTAATCAAATTAATAGAAAACCAGTATTTACTACTTCGATAATTTTTCAGATTTATTTGTGTGTGTGTGTGTGTGTGTGTGTGTGTGTGTGTGTGTGCAAGAGGCTCCAGAGGCCAACAGAGGATGTTAGAGTCCCTAGAGCTGGAGTTACAGGTGGCCATGAGTTGCCTGACATGGGTTTTAGTAAAAAGATTCTAGTCATTGGTATAGCAGTCCCTGTGCCATCTCTCCAGGTCCAGGGTTTGTACCCTTGTATCAAATCATGCTAATAGCCACCAGGAGTTCAGTTGTATGTGTTGAAATGGCAGAGCAGTGATGAGGCATGGCACAGCATACTTAGTCTACTCCGAAGTCTCCGTAACTGTATTTGGTAAGAAGAGAGCTGACCCTTCTTTTTTTGCTCTTCCATGCCAGCCCTTGAGAGAGGCTTGACAAAGGCTCTGAGGAAGCTGGATGACTACCTGAACACCCCTCTGCCAGAGGAGATTGATACCAACATCCGCGGGGATGAGAAGGGATCCCAGCGCAAGTTCCTGGATGGTGATGAGCTGACCCTGGCTGACTGCAATCTGCTGCCCAAGCTGCATGTGGTCAAGGTAAGAGAGGTCTGTTCATAGGTGCTGGCTTCATCTCAGGCCCAGACAACTGGGTGGATGAATCAGTGGAAGTAAGCAAAATCCAGGGGCTAAGACTTTGGGCTCTAAATTCAGATCTATCAGGGACCCGAGGTCATCCTTCACTTCTTGCTTGGTGAAAGCCTCTCTTGAGATTTAATTTTCTCAATTTTTAATAAAATCATATATATTGGTGTTGACTTGTATATATACACACACATATATGTGTACACACATAGACATGTAGGCAAATACATACATGCATACATACATACTATGTGTGTGCCTGGTGCCCATGGAAGCAAGAAGAGTGTATCAGATGCTCTGGAATTGAAATTACAGACGGTTGTGAGCTGCTATATGGGTGCTGGGAATTGAACCTGGGCCTCTGGAAGAGCAGCCAATTCCCTCAGCCACTGAGCCTTTTCTCCGGTCCCTGCCTGAGTTTTCATTTTCATCTACAAAATAGTCACATGTTGTTTGTCTCTAGGGTGGTTGTGGGACTAAGCATGATATGAATTGCTCATTATACTACAGGGATTGGATGTATAGTAAGTATAATGCCACTGTATGTATAGTTGCATCATAGCCTTTTGGAGTTACCTTGCCTTGCTTTCCTACCTGCGTTAGGTGGGTCCTCGTGGGTCTTCATACATCCTCATACACAGACCTTGTAGAGGCTCCGTAGGGTACCTACCCATCAAGTTTCCTTGCTATTGGGTGGAGCAATAGAGGCTGCAAAGGAGTGGAGCAGAAAGCACCCTCTCGCTCTCAATGAACCTGCTGACCATCAGCACCATGGACCACAGTCCTTCCCTATACAAAAACATAACACTATGAATGCTCTTAAGAAGATATTTTAGGGGTTATTTCAAACACCCCAATCCCACACTGCCCTGCCTCCTGCTGTGTCTGTGACTGCCTTTTGTGCAGTGTGATGGCACATTTCTGAGTGGTGAGGAGCCCTCTGTCTTACTATCTCACATAGGCTCTGATTATTACAGCATCTTTCCTTACAGGGAGCCTAAGGGTATTTCCTAGAGCAACACAGAACAACTCTGTTCCCCTTTATCTATTGGAACACAGCAATTGGATCTACATGGGTTCTCTAAACAGATATCTCACCCCCTCATGTGTACACTGCATACATGTGTACACACACACACACACACACACATGCATGTGGAGGCTGGACATAGACAGTGGGTATCTTCCTCAGTCTCTCTCCATCTTATTCTTCTAATACAATGTGTCTCACTGAACTCAGAGCTCACCAATTTGGTTAGACCAGCTGGCCAGTGAGCTCCAGGGACCCTCCCATCTCTGTCTCCCAGCACTTGGATTCCAAGTGTGCATCAGCACAGCTGTTTTCATGTGTGGATTACACTAGAGATCTACACTCAGGTTCTCATGCTTTGCAAAGGAAACTCAGTCATCTCCTCAGTTCGTGGTGACCCCCATCCTTTTTTGACACCCACTGTCTAGAGAAACATGCAGTAGGGTCTTACAACCAAACAGTTCCCTGCTTTTACCATGTCTATGTCTTACCATCTAATTTTGACAATGTCTCTGTGAGAACAGTAGCCTTTTCAAAGGACCATAGCCCTTTAATAAACAGTCATTTATGGGCAATCTGACCATCTCCTATGTGTCTTTTAGAATACTCATGTTTTTTCTGCCCTTCACTGAGAAGGCTAGCCTATTGCTCAGAAGCAGGCTAGATCTATTACTTTCAGCTTTAGTATTGAGCTAGACACGTAGACTATCTTCCAATCAGAGGACACACCACTTTGTGGTAAGGTCACTTAGCTGAACTTAGTGTAAGTGTCCAACTGTCCTGGGTTAGAGCTAAAACTAAGGGAGGATATCACATGATTCTAGGGCAGGCCAATGCAGTACTTTACTATGAAGACATTTTGGGCTCAGGGCCAAGCTAAAGATCTCTTGTAGGTCCAGCCAAGTATGTCACTTTGAAGTTATTAATTATTGCAGGCCCCACCCACCAAATTGTGCTTTCTTCTCCTTTCCCTGAGGAATAGGCAGAACCATTAGGGACGTGTGATGCTTGCTCAGTCACACAATGCCATAGTGACATAACAGAATGATCAGAAGACGCATGTGCTAATTCATCATTTGCCACCAACTAGCTGGGTGGACTAGGACGAGTCATTTGATCTTTTAGGATTTCATTTTTCTTGTGCCTCAAAGAAGAGATGTGGATCCGCCTCCCTCTCCCCTGTTTTCTTTTCCTTCTTTCTCTCTTTTCTACTCCAACATGTACGGGCAGCCCACGTAAGCATCCTTTGTCAAAGTAGGCAAACGCATGGCCCTCACAGGTTCTGCCTCATTCTCTGAATGTCTCAGCATTTTCTAGCCTTACATGACTAAGTTAACCCCACGGCCTTAGAGACAGTCCAGCAGGTTTCTAGCTCTGGGATGCTGGGGATCAGGCAGAGGATAGCCTAAGAAGGAAAAAAGCCTGAGCCTGGACTTCTGTCTCCTTGGATTTCTGCTCATCCAGCTTATCAGATCTGGCAACCTGGCAAACCTCTACAGTGCAGAGAGCATGAAGGAGAGCCGAGGCAGTTTGGCCTCAGATGCCAAAATGTAATCAGGGCTATGGGTGCTAACTGCTTCATATAAAACAGAAAATTCAGAGCATGAACGTGGACGTGCCTCTGAACGTCAGAACTCTGTGCACCCTTGATCCTGCCTGCCTTCCTTCGTATCTATCACCATTCCAGGATGCTGAGTGGCTGTGGTTCACACTCACTGAGAGCCTGGTCCATGGGTGGGCTTTTCCTGGCTTAGCATGGTGACCATATTCTCTGTGAGGGACTTGGAAGAGAAATGCAATATAAATGCAAATATAGATTCTTCAATCCCGTATCTGCTGTTTTCAAGCTAATACGGATAACCCAGAACACTAGTTTGCCTTTCTGTTGCTCTGATAAAAACAGTGGCCAAGAGCAGCCTGGAGCTTTCTTTGCCTTACACTTTCACATCACAGCCCATCATGGAGGGAGCTCAAGGCAGGAACCTAGAGGCAGGAATTAAATCAGAGACCAAAGAGAAACGCATCTTACTAGCTTGCTTCCCTTGGCTTGTTCATTACCTTTATTATACAGTCCAGACCCATTTACCTAGGAATGATGCCACCCACAGTGGGCTGGGATCTCTTACATCAATTAACAATCAAGAGAATGATTCAATAGACATATCCACAGGGCAATCTGACACAGTTCCTTCTCCCAGATGGCTCTAGTTAAAAGTTAAAAGTTGGCAAAAACTAACCAGCATGGTTCTTACTTAGCACTAAGGTGGAAACTCAGCACCACCAAAACCAAATAAGCAAATGAATAAACAAGAAAGTGAAACCCCAAATTAAATGCTAGCATTAACAAAATATGAGTTTATCAATCAGTGTAAAATATCAGCCCTGCCCCTGTTTCTTTGAGATCAGTTGGCACAAGGTCTAAATACTGTTGTTCTCAAATCTGAGATTCTCCTGCCTCCATCTCTTGAGTATTAAGATTTCAAGTTCATGCCGTCAGGTTGAGCTTTGCACACCATCTCTTAGTAGATTCATTCCCACTACTACGCACCATGTTTATCCCAGCTGGCTAATTCTAGCTGGTCCTTTGGATCAGATCAACATAGCTGCCTAGATTTGTTCTGAGCTAAGACAATCCCTTCTCAAAAGGCCCTGGTCAAACTGGGAGGCCCTCCTATGGCAGTGACCAGAGGAAGCTCTTCGGACAACTAGTGGTTTGTGTTGACTCAAGTCAGTCACACTCATGCAGGACAGAACATTGTGGGTGGCTTCTTTGGTGTTCATCATCAGAAGAGAATAATCTCATATCAAGAAGTTCTGAATCTTGAACACTTGGAAGAACAGATGCTCCTAGAGGTTCCCATGTTCTAAGGCAGCTACTTTCCCAAGGAAACATTCTGGAATTTAGAGAGATTTGTTAACATGGAGCCCTGCAGGTGTGGGTCCAGCAGAGATAAAACCTGGGTTTCTGAGGTGAGATGGATATTTGGCTGTGTTGGGAGCCAGTCTTTACAGCTGAGTCCCTGTTGTGTCCTGTTCTCTCTGGTCCAGCACAAATACAGTTGTAGATGTGTGGGAAAAATAACAGACATGGTTTGGTGGCTGCTATAGAGATAAACTGTAGACTAACTAGAAGGGGTATATGCCTCCTGCCCTGTCATCCAGCCTTGCTGCAGGGTAATAGCAAATTTGCTTCAGAGCCAGACAGGCTTTCCTGGTAAGGCATGAATAGAGTGTTCACAACTCCAACATTATAAAACAAACAAATAGCAAATTGGAGACAGATGTGGAGATGAGCATAGGTTTTGAGTCATTAGCTGTCAATGGAGAGATTCTATGAAGGAGGGGAGTCACAAATTGCTTTCTACAGAGGAACATGGGGCCATCCATAAAACCCGAGACCAGAGACTAGAGTCGTTGAGGCTCATCTGCCCTTTCTTCACTTTTCTGCACCTCCCTCCACACACACAAATAAGGATACTTACTTAAAGCAAAGCAGAAGAGGGACCAAAGAAAGAAGAAAATCTGAACCAAGCAATGTATCATGTACCTTATACTTGGGAGATGGAATCAGGAGGATTGGAAATTCAAGGTCATCCTCAGCTACATAGGATGTTTGAGGTTAGCTTGGACTATGGGAACATGGATACTATATGGATAATATGTCTGTAGTTATCATAAATATTTCTCGAACTATGTTTTATATTGTACACCAATCATGTCTAACTCAATAGCTTCCCTTATCAATGGTGGTTTTCTTTACAGCTCACCTTTTACATTTTCAGGTATTCTGTACATGAAATATTTGTGTGTGCAGTGTCTTCATATACATGTTTGCACATCTGTGATCATGTGTGGGCATGGGTACATATACACACGAGTGTGAATGCATGTGGAGGCCTGAAGTTGATAAAAAATCATCCTCAAATTCTCTTCCAGTTTATTCATTAAGTCATGCTCTCTCAATCAAACCCAGAGCTTCCTGGTATGGCTAGTCTTTCTAGCCAGCTTCTCTCAGCCAGGCTGTATGCAGACATACCTGATACGCACAGCCACCCATGAAATCATGGCCCTAACACCTCCTAATGATTTGTTTCCTGCCTTCATACCATCTCTCTCTTGTCATCTTTGCTTAGATTGTGGCTAAGAAGTACCGAAACTATGACATCCCAGCTGAGATGACAGGCTTGTGGCGGTACCTCAAGAATGCCTACGCACGGGATGAGTTCACTAACACCTGTGCAGCCGACAGCGAGATCGAGTTGGCCTATGCAGATGTCGCCAGGCGCCTCAGCCGATCCTGAACTTGGCTGTCTGGCCCAATTTCTGCTGCAGAAGAATTCGACTTCTCCTAAAGGCTTTCAGCTCTAGAGACTCTTCTTCCCCATTGCCTTGGAGGAAAACATCAAAAAAGTTAGGCCACTTCTTCCTGGCACCCCTGAACTCAACTCCAGCCATCTACCCTCTAAGATCAGTGCCACCCTTCTGCCTTGCTCTGCAGGAGCCTGGCAAGCAGAGAGGACACGGAAGCAGATTCTTTCACCTGCTGGTCTGATCTAGAGTCAGTGTGTCTGGGGTCAGTTTGCAGAGCTCCTGCGGGATTGTCACTGTTCCCTTCTGCCAATATAATAATGCTTCTCAGATGCTCTAACAACGTGAAATGCCAGCTTCTCCCTGCCTCCTCCTTTAGCAACTTCAAGGTGACTGACAAATGTCATTACATGATTTTTAGGGAGAGATATGTGTCTTGATTGGAAAGACAGTGGTTAGGGGGGGGGGGACTCAGCTGGGTGTGGCTCTGGATATCTAGTAAAACAGTTCCAGCCCCTCACTATTTCTGACGGTGGGCCAGGTGGAGACACCCACCACACACAATACACTCCAATTTCCTGCAGTTCAGGAACTGGTGCAATATGATTACATCCTGGCCAGCACTTACCCAAGTTTTCCTCCAGTCTCCATTTTGCCATAAAGGCAGTTGACTTATAACTCTAAACTGAGGTGACCCAGATAGTGAGGGACTTCTGGGAAGCAATGTTGATGCCAAAAGGCCCACTAGGGTCTACAGCCACAGGGGTCACTGGCTGAAGAGTAGTCCACTGGAGATCACATGAGTGTGTGTGTGTGTGTGTGTGTGTGTGTGTGACTGTGTTCTTCAATGGGTGGCTTTGGGTTGGAGCAAGAGATGGAAGAGGATGGAGAGAGATGGAAGGAGATAAAGTTCTATATGAGTTTGCTGTAGCCTAGAAAACTTTTAGAGCAGTCTTCTCTCTCGCTGTCTAAATCTTGGACTGGTGTTATAGCACACCTACCAACTGTAGAGCCGACTCCAGCATCAGCCAAACATGTCTGCCAAGCCTTCCTAGTCACTTGCAGATGTGGGTTATCACCTGGCTATGCTCAGGGTCTCAGTTTCTTCAGCCCTAGCCACTGAGGGAAGAGAATGTCTATTAAGAAATGGTGTGATCGTGGGCTACCTTAGGAAGAAAGTCCACGGGTCTTTCTGACTGGGAAGCCACAACTTGAGTTTGGAAAGTATGTCCTGCCTTGGATTCATTTTCCCACCATCAGACTCATCTATCAGATTTTCAAGAAAAAGAAATCTTAAAAAAAAAAATTATAAGCTAATATCTCTCTCCTTGGTCATTCTCCTTGAGTTTTATCTACAAAGCTCACAGGGCCTGACCATGGCAACCTAGGCTGATTAGGATCTATGACAAATTTGTCTGTCATTAGCTCTTACTCTACCAGTGAGCTAGTGAGTGCCAAAAAAAAAAAAAAAATCCATACCCGGGCCTCAACTTCAACAATCCTGCTTCTGTGTCACTGACAGTGGAGGCAAGGCTTCTCAGGCCTGGAAAGGCCCTGGACTTGGTTCATTGCTCTGGAGGGTGGAGCGGCACGGGTCCTTTCCTTAGAAATATCAACATGGTCTAACCCAAGCAGTCATTGAGACCACCTGCCTCTAGGGATCTCCAAACCAAAGAGCGACCATTGATCCAAGGAGGGAGGAAGCAGGAGGTCTCCCTAGCCCACTGGAGGAGAGGACTCTGCCTGCTAGGACATTTCATAAACCTGAAAGAGATTTGAAGAGGCAAAATGAGTCGATTCATTTCCATCGCAACAGGAACCTTTCCACAGGCTCTCTGTAAGCTGCCCCTGGGGATGTTTAAAAGTGTAGCACTGTTGAGGGAACAGCCCCTTTTTCTTCAGGGACAAGCCCTGAATGGGCCTCCTGGGGAAGGAGAACTTCCGGAACCTTCCGGAAGGCTGTTTAATTAAAATAAAACCCTGCTGTTCTCAGGCATCCTCCCTAGAATTTACAAGCAGGCAGGGTGAACCCAGGCGGCCCACATCCCTATTTTCCACAGGTGGGCTGAAGGTAAAGATATGAAGACTAGCATACACACAGAGGGGCTTCAGAGGAAGGGGAAGAATTCTCCTCAGGTGATGTTCTGAGCCCAGCAATCGGCAGGTCTTTAAAAACAAACTTCCCAAGCCAAGTCAATATTGTTTCTAGACAGTCCTCCTATGGTTGAGTTAGTTTCACATAAGTTAAAATATTTAGGCAATGTTGGATGCTATAGGATCAAGAAGAACCCCTTTAAAGAGAAGCAAGACTGTAGAAGGAAGGCTTTCCTAAGTACTTTAATGCAGAAGTAACTTTAATGTTATCAGATACTCATGAAACTGACCAGTGTCTTAGGACATAATTATGGTATATAAAAAAATATCAGTAAAGTCAATGATTATTACCCATCCTAACTCCTCCAAGGATATTTTTCTCTGGAGGCTCTAGCTTCTCTAGACCTTGGTCTTAACCTCATCATGTGTATGGTTTACCATCTGCAACCACCCCGTGGTCAGGTTCCAAATCCCAACTCAGACCATGTGGAAGGGTTTGCATTGTGGACTCTACCTGCAGAAATTCTGGATAAGAGCTATTCTGGTAAATGCTTAGTCCCCCAGGAAGCATTTGGATGGCAGAGAAAAGGAAACTATCTTGAAGGAGCTATTTTGTATTCCTCTCTCACCTTGGACTGTCACATGACGATCTTGTGTGTGTGAAACATAAGTGCAAGGCAAGACAGACAGATAGGGTCCAACTCAGAATTACTGAGCTGAGTGTACCTATGTAAAACTGCCCTCTTCTTAGGTTGATCCAGAGAGAAGACATTCATTAAAATGTTAGTACCTATCCAAAATAAGGTAGAAAGTGAACTTTTTGCTTGTTTCAGGATATAACTTCATAGTCTCCTGAAAGAAAGAGAAATCCCTGGTAAGTTCAGGATCACAGTCATGTGTCTAACTCACCTTTTAAATGAGGGGTCTAGGTAGATTCCTGGAGCCAAACGAATCAGTTGCAAAGTAGGAAATGGTCAGTCAGTTTATTTAGCCAGTCGATCCCAAACTAGTTCCAGCTTCCTGGTAGGTGGCCATGTCCCCACTGGTCCCTTCTGATGCTAGTGGGAACAGGAAAAAATCTTTTTTTTTTTCTTCAAAAACAAGATGCTCCAAAAGTGAGATCTGGGGCAGAACCTTCTGGTACCCTCTGGATCCTGTGAGGTGTGGCAACAATAGTGATGACATTGCCTGTGTCTAGACAGGTGGACATTTTGCAGACAGACAGTCCCAAGCAGTTTAGGACCATCACATAATGAAGAATGCCTGCCACAGAGAGATGTTGACTGTTTCAGAGTCCAGAGGACCTGCCAGGCCCAGGTAACTTGTATTAGGAGGGAAGCCAAGACAGAAGCTATGTGTCCGTCTAATAAAAGTTTACCATCACTAAAAGAGTTTATATTTGCCATCAAATCCTTTTAGAAGCAGTAGCTGTCTGGTCAGTAGGTACTTCTGGGGTTTCCCTCCATTCCTCCATGGTCCAGGAGTCAGCTCAGCTTCAAGATGAGGCAGGATACTAACATGATCTCGCTTGGAAACATGAAACACTAACTGGTGGTTGAAACTAAGTTCAGTGATTCTTAAGGATTATCTTTTGAGATCTACATGTTTATATCATCCATATTCATATACATTATACCTATATACGATATTACAAAGAACCTTTAGAAAGGGTGCAGGAAAGATGTGTGCCTATGAGGCCCCAGACTCTGGTGTTGGAAGAACATTTGTGATCTTGTCATTGACCTCGGGGCCCTTCTAAAGATAGGCCAGTGACTTTGTATCCACTGCTCTTTATCATCCAAACTAACAGCTTGTGCCTCAGTTACAAGTGTCTTTGTTTTTCCCTTTAGCAATATTTCTTTCCCAGCCTAGTTTCAAGCTACATTCATCTCATTATTATGAATGAGATACTCATTATTATGAATGAGTCTAAATCAAACTGCACAATCTTATTTAATGTTGTTTCAGGAAATAAATCTATTCTCCACTATCACCATATGCACCAGCAAAAGTAAACAAAACATTTTACCAATATAAGGTTTGACTTAAACCATACTTTCTATAAAATCGATCTGGTGTTTGGCAAAAACAGTTTTGAAGACATGGTGTTTTTGTAGATAGCTAGAGATGTCCCAACATTGACTGCGAATATATTTATAGGAGATATAAGGCTAACTTGATTGTAGAGTGTTTGCTTAACATGAAGCCCTGGGTCAGATCTCCAGCACTGCATAAACCAAGCATGGTAGCAAACACTGGTAATCCCAGCACAGGAGAGCTGAAGGCAGGAATATCAAGGTCAGCAGCATAGCAAACCGGAGGCCAGTCTGAACTACATGAGACCCTGCCTCAAAACAAGCAAAAACAAGCAAAATATTCAGCTGATATTTTACTTTCTCCCCATCCGAACAGTCACCTAGTTTTTCCATTTTATAAGCTTAGGAGTTAACTGTTAGCAATGCTAATTCATTGTACGTAAAGACACTCCAAATGAGCAACTCACATTTCTTGAGACCTTTAACTGTGGTGAGAACAGACCTTGCTTTCAAGCCTTACTAAATGCACCATGCCTTTGAATACATACCAAGTTGAGTGTTTTCTTCCTATCCTTGAGCCAGCTGTAAATGCATTTCCTGGTCTTGATTGCTATTGACTGATTCAAATAAAGTTGGTTTATTTTCAATTACAAAAGAGATCACTGGGGTTCTTTGGGGAAGGGTTGTCCTGTTTCAGATGACAATACAAAAATCTCTTTTTCAAATAAAGATTATTTAGTTTCACACAAAATAGGGCCATTTTTAAAAATCAAAACAACAACAACAACAAAAAAACAAACATGAAAGTAGAACTGGAGCGTGGTTCTGTGGTAGAGCCATGCAAGATGTCATAGGTTTGATCCTCAGACTAGAAATACAAGGCACGGGAAAGCATGAGATTTGGAGAGATAGTTTTTAGTAGGAAAAATTCTATAAGAAACTCTTAGACCTTGTTGATCTCTTGGTGTACAGAGTTAAATCAAGTTCATCCTTAGGGCTGATGAGTCTGGAGGAGCTAGGAGATAGCTGGCACGTTGGCTGGCTCTGTTCCAGGGCATGTAGAAGTGTGAACTTGAACTTTAAGCATTTGTATCTTGGATAAGGGCCTCCAAGGTATTGTAGCCGCTCAAATAAGAGCCAAGATACTGCAAAGATTTGATTAAATTCTTAATTAATGTGGGAAAGAGACTTAGCTGGAATGGATGGACTTCTGGAAAATGGTTTCTAGTCTTCCCCAGTGCCCCAGCAGGTTATCATGAGTCCCAGAATTCCATGAAGAATATCTTGTGTCAACAGCTTATGATCTTTACGGATACTCAAACAAGCCAAGATGCTGCTATGATTTGGTCCTAAATTTAACAAGGTGCCATAAAACCCACAAACAAAGACGACGAACCAAGTAACGACCATGAGGGATCACAAGAGTTTCACTGAACCGCTACATAATAATGGCTACACCCAGGCCAAGTTCAACATTCAAAAGAGACACAGATCCCCAAAGTGACCATGTGGTTATTTAATTCTAGAAATGGGAACTATACGAGAGTGTTGAGGAGGATAATGAAAAGAGCAGTTAAATTCTAAACTGCCCACCGGAGACTATTTTAAAATGCTTATTTTAGTACCTTACAAGGAACTCTAAAGTCAATAATAAAAGACCCTGTAAATGCATCAAGGCAGAAAGCCAATGAGACAGTGAGACTGCTTGACCACGAGTTACACTGGAGGAGGGGATGGGATGGAAGAACATGAAGGATGGTCACCATAGATCTTAACTCTATGAAGGCATGAAAAGACAACACAGCTATGACTTCACTTCCTTTTATAAAGAACATGTGTGTTCACAGACAACGAGACTTGATGGACTGAGACCAAAGGTTTTCTGAGGGTGACACAGAACAAAAGCACATGGTTTCAAAGAAAACTTTCTTAATAAGGGCAATGAAATCCCCCATGTAGACAAGGATGCACACCGATTTGTACCTGAGAATAGTGAATTCAGAACTCTCACTATTAGTTGACTCTTTGACTCTCTTACCTATGACTACTGTGGCCACGAAACCCAGGGAAATTTTAGGCTTCCATTGGGAAAACCTCTGGCCTGGCAGTGATACACAAGACAGGACTCACCTGGTGTGAAAATCAAAGTGAGATGCCTCTTATTTGCAATCCTTCCAGCCTGATCACAAGAACTGTTAACAAAACTGTTGTCCACCATGTTAAATGCATGCCCTTGGGTTCTCACATGCTAAATTGTACATATTTATAGTCCCCTAGATTCTTAGAATATTTCTGTAATGTTTTCTCTGTTTCGTTTACAGATGGGATCTGAGACTTAAGAGTATTGCACAAGTTAACAGTGTGTATAAGCTAGCAAAAAGCCAGGATTCCAACCCAAAGACTGGCATAGCAATCTTAAATGTGAAACCGAAATGAAGAATAACCCTCCTTAGCCAGAAAGGAAGAGATGTAATGTATTTAAATCCTCCAGCTAGAATAGGAATTTGGGTAGCAATATAAAACAGCAAAGCAGATGAAATTTTGTGTTTTGAATGGGAAATGTACCCTACAGGCTCTCGAGTTTAAACCTTTGGTCCCCAGATGGCAGTGATATTTGGGAAGGTTGTAGAACCTTTAGAAGGTAGAACCTTGCAGGAGGAAGGGCAATGTGACCAGCTCAGTTTGCTGGTCCTTGTTCCTGCTAACATGTCTTCACTGTCAATGATGGCTCATATCCCACTGGAACTGTAATTATTTCTGGAACATAAATACCATCTCCCTTGAATTGCTTTCCCAGTATTTTAGCACAGCAGCAAGAAAGTAACTAAGTTTCAAGCACAGATTCCTTTTTTTTAATTAATTAATTAATCAATTTTTTCAAATCATAATTTTTACTTATTCACACAGGGGTTATAAACACAAAAAGGGAGGAAGTGGGGAAGGGGATGACACTGGAGCATGGGTGTTCAGGGGGAATACAGATATCTTTCAGAACAGGGTATCAGCTGGGTGAAGGTTCAGGGGCCAGGTCGCTATGACTCTGCCTACGATTCACTTGTCCTTACCTAAGTTGGCATTATCTGCCAAGGCTACCTATTTACAAGGTCTATGACTATTCAGGCTGGTAAATTTCCACAAAAGCTGCCTGTTTACAATAGCCTATAGCCATCTGTTTCAATGTTTTTTCCACAGAGACCCAAGACTTGATATTAGTATACATGTATGACAGGCCTATTGCTGCTTTTAGGCCTATGGCTGATTTTAGGCCTTCAGTGTATAAGCAGGGCTGCCCCTGACATCTCCTCCCTTCTCTAAGTATAGAAGGGCTGTGGTGATTCTAATCTTGCAAAGGCAGGGATAGAGGCCTGACCTCCAGTAATTGAAGGGGATCTTGTAAACAGATAACTTTTAAAATGTACTTTAAAGTCCATTCAAAGTACATAGGAGCTTCATCAGCTCTGTCTGTTGCCATGTGCATTTTTATCTAGGATATATTCATTTATTTTTAATTCAAAAAAGAAAGCATGGACAAAACAAAAGAAAATCCATTCAACTCAAAAGTGTTACAATGAACAGCAGGCAACTTTCCTACCTGAAACACTCTGATTGCATTCCAAAGGTCATGCGTATTCATGATTTTGTGCATGGTTATTTACTTTCAGAATTTTAACCGCTAGCACACTGCTGTCTGGCACTATTCTTAGGAAGATATGAACATAGGTGGGGAACCAACAACAGACCAAGGTAACAAAACCACTGAACTCCAACTTGGTAAACTAATGATTTTATTCGGGTTATTTACAGGAATATAAATGAGGGGTTACATACAGAAACATGTATGATCCCCTAAAAGCTATACCATCAAAAGCTTGCCCCAGCATGGGTGATCACTCATGAAACCTGGAACCCTAGAGGTCCCTGCACAACTTACAGGCCGCTCAATGGTTAGAGAGTCTTGTCTCCTTATCGATTCTTATTGCTTACATAGTCTTAGTAAGGCAGGAACATTATGAATCTGGTCAGTTTCAGGAATTCTCCCAGACTTCTGAGATTACTTTATGTGTCTTAATGAGCCTCCTTCCCGAATGAAACAGTTTAAATAACAGGAAATAGATGTAAAACATGTACATATGTCACAGGATACATGTATGTTCTTTTAAGAACAGTAAGGTATGCGAACGAGTATACACACATACATTTTTGTTATCAAAAATGAGAGTATATTGTTTTTGATCTTGCATATATGCAAAAGTTACTTTTTTTCTCCTGATGTAACTGTTGTCTCTGGGGCTTACTGCTAACTCATACCTAGCCCTGGAAGCTTCTAGCCTCCGTATACTCTTATCTAGTAATAGCCTCTGAAACTTACTGCTAAATAAGCTCACCCCTTTCTAGTTCTTTCTGAGTTATGACCAGGTGGTTCAACTCAGCTGTTTTGGCTCAAACTCCTTTCCATGCTAACTGATTCAAACTGGCTTCTCTCTGAGGTTCTCCTGAATTGATCCTGATTTCAGACTATCACTATCAATTTGTTCTAATCTTCTGACTTTTTCTCATTCTCTGGCTTATTTTGTCTTCACCTATGTCTAGCTTGTTCTCTCCCTTCAACCTGTCTCTGGACAACTGTTCCAGTAAAACTGCCTCCTTCCTTCTGTCTCTGTATTGCCTCTTAAATAGCTTCTTTTTTCCACTCTCTTCTTGTGAGAGTTGGGCATACCCTATTCTGTCAAATCTTTCTCTGATTCATCACTTTGTCTGCCACTCAATTAGAAGTCACGTTCAAACATAGGTGTTTCTTTCTACAAACTAACTTTACCTTCATTGTTTGGGATTAAGGGCTAGTCTGTATTCCAACCAGAGGGGGTTAAAGGTGTGTTTTAAGGCTGAGCCACTCCACAACCAGAAACAGCTCTATCAGTAAATAACACAATCTCAGAATTCACAGTGTGATCAAATATCCTGCAACACAGGTAGCACACACGTGCACTTACACATACACACACACACACACACACACACACACACACACGCACACACACACATGAGAACTTTACATATTAATGCATATTTCATATTCTATGTAATATCTTCTAATGTCTCACTTTGTGGATACAACTTCACTGAACCTGTCTACCCTTAAAACACATTTAAGCGGCTTCTAGTGATTGACTATTGAAGTACTTCATCTGTGTGTATATCTGTAACCACACTCATGCTAGGCATTCACAGAGGCCAGAAGAGGGCATTAAAATCCCTGGAAGTGGAGTGACATCCAGTTGAGATGCACATGGAACAACATGAAGGGGCTATGGCAAATGCCCCTCTAAATATCTCTGAATACATGTGAGAAAATATGCATAATACAAGCTCCTAAAGGTGAGAAACCTAATTCCCCTTTCTAGCTTTTGTGAACACCTGGCATGAATGTAGTTATAGATATACAAGCAGAAGAAATGCTCATACATGTAAACTTACAAAAGAAGAATAGCCATAAGAAAAAGAAAATTCTCAAGTCTTCCTCATGGAGAACACAAAAAGGCTAACAGAAAACAGTTATCACCTTAGTCTTGGACTACTCAGCCTCCAGAAGTGGGAGAAATAATTTTCTATCATTCATAAGCCATCCAATGTATGTCAATTTATTATAGTAGTGCA